TCTCTCTCCTCCTCTCTCTCTCTCTCTCTCTCTCTCTCTCTCAATAGTTCCCTAAAGTTCACACTGAGCACATTGTATGCAGCAACTACCCTCATCATCATTTACACACTCTTTTTGTTTATTTCAATTGTAGTCATCCTAATTTCAATCTTTTTCAATCACTCCTTCAAACGATTCCATGTTATCTTTTCCGTTCGTCATTCATACTCCATATGGTTATTTTGCTCCCTCATATAAAGGATTTGATGGTTGGCTTGGCCGTACTGTTGTGGCTTTTTTAGGATTTGGCTCTTCTACATCAGCAACCTCTGATATGTGATGCACTAACTTGTACAAATGATTGGTCGGGTCCCGTCGGTATGAGTCTTGCAAATAATATTGGGCACTGGTCTGGGTCCGGGTCCCGACCCATCCCCAACCCTACCCTTGGGCATGTGGTGCTACCGAAAAGGGTTTATAAAGGGTCATACCTTTTTGAGGTCGGAGTGATGCCCAAGGATAGTTGTTGGTCAGGAGAGTTGTGTGGTCTCTTATGTGTAGGCCTGTGAGAGCAAGGGCTAAATCCTCAACATACTTCCACATGGCATGTACATATAATAGCCACACTGCGGGAAAGCAACTCTATAGAAGGACACATGTATATGTGCATAGATAAAGTTCCCATTGCGCTATAGTGATATGTGCTTGGCTTGCTCTTGAAAGGGGAACTGTAATCCATATTCTGGAACTGCAGTTCCACTGTTTATTGAGTAAGTCTTCTCGACTGTTTGGTTTTATTTTTTAATAATATTTTCATATTTTCTGTGATTTTTCATGAACATCATATGTACTTAAATTGTTAGTAGAAGATTGGTTTTTATTCCTGGTTTGTGTCTATTCATTTTGACAAAAAAAGGTCCTGGATTGTATTTAGGGTTTTAATTTTCATTTACGGCAGGGTCTTGTGGCACTTGTAAGAGGAATTCAAATTCATTAATGAAGAAACGAAGAAATTTTTTTTTATTCTATAGTGTTGAATTCCACATAGCCACATCTTTCAAAAACCTCATTATATGAAGAGGTTCAAGTTATATATATAGAACATCTGTTTCTTTTCTATTAGTCTCGATGGAGTAACCATTAAATCACCAAAAAGTCAAGGAAAATGGATGCTTTATGAGTATGGCGGTACGTCAGTGGGCATGACTGAATGAGGTTAGTGTTGAAAATACAATTATCAATGGGGTCATTCTCGTCAGTTTGGGTAACAATTGGCAAGCATTGCTCTAGAGCTGGAGATTCAAATAAAAGAAGAGTGATTTTTGTATTTTGACCACCTGCATGCAGGAGGGGTTCCTGTTAACCTGAGTTATAACCTTTTTACTTATTAAAGTTCCAAACCTATGGTTCTAATGTTGCTGTGATACTAAGTTCATGGGCAATGTATTCTCACTAACTATGGAAAATGGGATAAATCTGTTATTTGTAAGTTTTACTTGGGTATAATCACAAATATTCTTAGGGAATAATCCAGTAAGTCTTCTTTGCTCTTTAGTTTTGTTTTTCAGTCATATTTGCGTGTTTATTATGAATTTTCAGGAACAATATTTGTGTCTTAATTACTAGTTTTTGTTCTTGGCTTGTGTTTATTTAATTTGGCAGTAGAATGAAGAGACCCTAGGTTGTATTTAGGGTTTTATTTTTCATTTTCAACAGCATATGGTGGCACTTGTAAGTGGATTTCAGATTCATAATAAAAAAAAAAAGAATTTTTTTTGATTTTATAGTCTTGAATTCCCCATAACCACATTTTTCAGTTGCACATATTTTGAGCTATATTGAAGGTATTCTTGGTAAGGACATCTATTTAGATGTAATATGTCTCTTGACTGGGCTGATTATGTAGTTGATTTCCAATCAACTGCTGGCTATTGACTGTGGAGGGGCAAATTTGGTTTCTTGAGAAGCAAAAACCCGAGTATAATTGCGTGCTCCAGGGCCGTAGCATAAGGTCAACTGTATGTGAAGTCTTATGGTTATGAGTGCTCCTAATTAGCATGGGAGTGCACAGCACATCACTTATATCTATGCACTGTGACAACCAAGCTGCTTTCTCCATTGCCACTAGTCCCGTCTTCCATTTAAGAACAAAACACATTAAGGTTGATTGTCAATTTACGAGGGACTAAGTAGTATACCAGGATTAAAGATCAACTAGCTGATATTTTTACCAAGCTAGTGGTCTTCTTTCCCGCTCTATGTCTATTTTCTTTCTTTTGCCCTGGAATTGTGTTCTCTCCATCTCTCTCTCTCTCTCTCGTTCCCTCTTTCCCAATTGCAGCCACAACTTCCCTTCTCTCCTAGGGGTCTAGATCCTCAAACTTTTCAGTCTGTGTATAAGGCCAAAAAGAAAAGGAAAAAACAAACACAATATTCCTTTGAAACCCAAATAATGTCTACAATTTTGTTCATGAATCATTATATTTGCAATTTCTGTTCATTATTGAATATTGGGGTTTCAACTCCTCTATGGCCGTCCCAAGCCGGTCACACCGGTCCCAAGCCTGGATAAAGGAGGAGGGTTGTGTTCGGTAGGGCAGCAAGTATAAAATTTTGCTACATCTTTTCATGAATCCTGAACCTGTTAGCTGACCCCCAATAGTTTGGATTAGGCTCGGATGATGATGATGATGGTGATGGTTGAATATTGGGGTTTTATGAGCAGAGTAGCACATTGGGTACATGCAATCGTTTGATTATTTTGAAATCTGTTTGGTAATCATTTGGCTTTCATTCATATTGGACGACTTCAATCGATGCTTGAGTTAGTCTATTAACAAACAGTTCTCTTAATATGCATGACCATACTTCACATGGATAAGTTCATACTTACTAGTTGTTCTAGTGACTGCTTCCTGGAAATTGAATTCAACTCTTTTGATAGTTCACTATCTGACATAGTTAGAAAATAGTCATTGGTATTAGAGTAATTCTCCTCTTAGATTTGCTAATTTTGTGCTTCCAATCATGTAAATAATGTTTATACAGGTGAACCTTTGATTTTCATCGAAGTTGCTCTCTTGAAGGATGTGGCACATACAATACAGGTTGTTTGGTTCTTCAGATGTTATCTAATTCATCATTATCTGCAGCTGGATTTATTGACCTTTCTCTGTGGTTAGGAGGTTTTGTGGGATGAGCCTCCTATTCTCGAAAATGATGCTACATGTGCCTTGTTTTATTCTATATCTTCAACCCAGGTGAAAATTTCAGACCTCTCTATGAATATAGAAGTAAAATTGCGTTATACACTTTTAATGTCGTTGCAGTTCCGCCCCATGGAATTGAATGGTACTTGGAGTTGAAATTTAAGATAAATAGTATTTTTCTTCTTGCTAGTATGGATCATATCTTCACCACTGTATGCAATATAGTAGATCGCTTGGGGTATGTGTTCAGTGATTTTTTACTTGGTTTTTTTTTGTTGTACATGTCTGGGTGGATATACTTCCATGTTATTATGGACGTCTTAGTATGGGTTTGTAAACACCTAACTTTTGAGTGCATCAGAAATAAAAAACGTCTACATTAATGGGGTTCTTGGAGGGGTAACTCAGGAGTTTCCTTAAAACCCATCAAATATGCTTCATTTGGGATGTAGCAAATTCAACTAGAGACAGTCCTGGATATTATCCCCTTAGACCCAGTCTAGGCATTTTCATTATCTCCATGGTCCATGGGATCTATTACAAAGATTTCTACTGCTTAACATTGAAGCTACGAATGGGGCTAACTCATGCACACTCCTAAAATATGGGCTCGAGGGTACGATGTAACATTGTAACCATTGTGTTGACAAGCACAAACATTGAAGTTAAAAATATAGCATCATGGAAAAAGAAAAGATGGAAAAAGAAAAAGAATAAAGAAGATGAGGAGTGTAGAGAGAGCAATAGGCTTAGAGAGAAGAGAAAAAGAATAAAGAAGATGAGGGATTTATAGAGAGGAATAGGCTTAGAGAAAGAAAAAATAGAAGAGAGAGAAGGTGAGAAGGAGAGAGAGAATCACGTAGAGACCATGATGTACTTGAGGTAGTCTCCTTATTCTGAGGTTGCTTATACATTTCATTTGTTTGTGTGTGTGATTGTTTTTCTATCTTGAAAATTATGTGATACCCACACTGTCCCTCTTTTTCTTTGGGATTATTTGGAAAAATGTCATTCAAGTACTATAGTTTTTTTGGGAGTTGAATGCACTAATCAAGTTGATGATTCAAATCAACAGCCTGGTCTATCAGGAATTAACCTTGGGAAGTTTCTCATCAAACGCGTGATTGAGCTGGTTCGACGAGATATGCCATGTGTTTTGGTATGTACTGTTCCAAAGGACAATATCAATCTCTGTTCTTGTAATGTGTGTTGTTTTTAGGGAAATGGTCACATAGGAAGTCCCATGTATTCGGTTGTATGGGAGTTCCATCCCCATCCATTGGATTAGACATTTAATGGGTGTAGCGAAGGTGGTTACCAGGAGCGGTTTGCTTGTTATCGGTTATTTGAGTAACCACCATTCTGCCAACCATTGGATCTCTAACCCAGCACTAGGGACAGAACTCCCAAGTAACCAAATACAGAGGACCTGCTACTTGACTATTCCCTTTTTCTAAATAGTCTTATGGATAAATGTACTATATGTGTCCATGTGTATTTTCTGGTAAATTTTGATAAGTTCTGTGAATGTTGGTGCTCCATTATGTGTTATTTTCTTCTGTAATATTGCTGTTATTTAGTGGGAGTATACTACAATTAGGTCTTGACTTCTTGACCAATGCTTGATGCATGCACCTGACTGACAATGTATATGCTGGATAGAGATTTAGAAATTGGATTCTTGATGCTATGTAGGCATGCTCATATGGTCCTTTTGAAAACTATCATTTGTTGTATGTGTCATGGAATCTTCCATGAAACAAGAGTTGATATCCTTTCGTGTACCACAAATGAGCTTTTCCCAAGTGGTAACCCTGTAATAGTTTCTCTTTGCTTCTTTTTGCATGAAAGGCCCTTTAGACACTCATCGACATAATTATGATGTTATCATATTCTTATACTGTTTGACAGTAAGAGTGTTTCAACCTGGTCTCTAGTATGCATTGCTCCATTGTGCAAAATTAATTCGGGCATCATTCCTCTTTAATTTGTGTTTAAATATCAATCTAGAAGTAGGAAACCGGATGAAAGCAAACAAAAGCTGGCATCTGGTCCACTTTCTTTCTCTAGACCTTCACATAATGAACATAAATCTATTTTACATTGATATGGAATGATTCTTCATTGAAAGCAACCTCCTTTTTTGAAATCAGTAAATATTCTGATTTCAGTAATGATCATGAAGGAGTATCTCTAATTCTTTGGCATTGAGGCATATTTAACCGTCATAGATAAGAAATGTATGAGGACCTTTCCTTTGTTTGATTATTTTATAATCTTCCAACACATGCGTTACTATTGTAAAGTCCCTAACATTATATGCTTATTACTATAGTTGCCTATTTTGGATAAGGTCTTTCTGGGGAACCTATGAGGAAACTTGGTGGTGGAGTGATGAGGGGAATGATGAGGTTTAGAAGGCCATTAGCTAAAAACGAACATTTTATAAAACTTGGCAGTATAATTGAAATGATCAAAACTTAGAAGAATATAAAAATTCTAAGAAACGCTGAACAAATAGTAAGTAGTGCTAAACTTAAGGCATATGATAATCTATACAATAAATTGGGAACAAGAAAAAGTGAAAAAATGTCTTCAAATTAGTAAAAATGAGAGAGAAAAAGTGTCGGGATCTAGACCATATTAAATGCATTAAGAGTGAGGATCAAAGGGTCTTGGTGAAAGATGAAGAGGTCAATGAAAGGTAGAGAATTTATTTTAAAAATTATTAAATGACGAACATAATGGGAACATAGCGGTAGAAGGAACCATTGGTATAAATGAGGTCGGAGGTCATAGATGCATTCGTAGGATTAGTATATCAGAAGTGAAAGAAGCTTTGAAAATGACGAAGATAGGAAATGCTTTAGGACCAGCTGGTATCCTGATGGAGGTTTGGAAGTGCATGGGGGAAATTGGCATTGACTTGTTGACCAAGCTGTTCAACAAGTTGTTAAGAACAAAGAAAATGCCAGATGAAGGGAGGAAAAGTACTGTGGTACCTATCTACAAAAATAAAGGAAACGTATAAAATTCTGTGAACTATCGAGGGATCAAACTTATGAGCCACACTATGAAGCTCTTGGAGAGAGTGATTGAGCAACGACTAAAGCATGAAAGGAGTGTATCAGAAAACCAATTCGGTTTTATGCCAGGGAGATCAACAATTGATGCTATTTTCCTAATTAGACAACTGATTGAGAAGTTTAGAGCGAAGGAAAAAAACCTTCACATGGTCTTTATTGATCTAGAGAAAGCTTATGATAAAGTACCTTGAGATTTGATTTGGTGGGTGTTGGAAAAAAAAAGGAGTCTCGAGACACTGTTTCGACTTAGTGAGAGATATTTATGATGAAACATTTACTAGTGTAGTGGTGTGCACACAACTAGTGAAGAGACCAGTGAGCTTTCAGTGACAATAGGTCTACATTAGGGGTTAGCATTGAGCCCATACCTCTATCGTAGTTATCGACGATTGAACTAGGCACCTACAAGATGAGGTACCATGGTGCATGTTGCTCGGAAATGACATAGTTTTGATCGATGAGATCCAAAACGGTGTCAACATAAAGTTAGAATTTTGGAGGGTTGCTCTAGAATCTAAAGGTTTTAAAATTAGCCGGACTAAGACAGAGTATATAGGATGCAAATTTAGTAATAATAGAAGTAGAGATGAGTAAGTAGTTAAGATCGATGATTAGGATATACCAAAAAAAACACACTTTTGATATCTTGGGTTGATAATCCAAAAAAATGAAGAGATTGGGGAAGATGTCGTACATAGAACTAGAGCTGGGTGGGTGAAGTGGAGATGTGCAACCAGAGATTGATGTGATCGCCGCATACTAATGAAGTTGAAGAGCAACCCACCAATATGGCAGTGCTTTCATTTAGCACACCATTTTGTTGTGGAATTTGTGGATATAAAATTTGTTGCTTTATCCCTTTATTTTTTATGTAGTTCTTAAATGCATGAGATGAGAATTCACCTTTGCTGTAACTACAAAAGAACAAAATTGGTTTACACAAATGGTTCTCAACTAAATTTTTAGATTGTGAATGTTTCAAATATTTTGAGTTTTTTCCTTAAGGATGTAAATCCAAGTATTGTCATCACCCGAGCCTTATCCCAACTATTTTGGGTCGGCTACATGAGTCCTGTACGCTCTATCAAAGGCCATTTTCTCAGTCAGACCATAAGTCACCATATATTTTGTTACTACTTCCATCTATGTTGTTTAGGGCTTTTCCCATGCCCTTTTAGATCCTAAATAAATTCAAGTATATCATGAAAAGTCATCCAAAAATATTACATAATATTTGTTATGGAAAGAAGAAGCGATAGATGTAGGTCTGTAGATAGAATGAATTAATTCAAGAGGTGAGGGAGCTTTTTTATTCAAATTGGAAAAGGGGATTTGGGAATGTTTACCTAATGATTCCAACTCTTAGATAACGATGGGATTGAACCCTCTTTACAAAACCTAATGACTCACTCATGATTGAGGTGAGCTCGATGTTAATGCCAAATATTGACATCCTCACTTATTTGAAATGAAGAGACTAACAATGGGAGCTTCATCTATTTATCATTTAAGACATATAGATGTTATTGCCAAATCCCTCAACATTGTCCCATACAATAGAGGTCGGTGTAAAAACAAAGTTTGACTCATTTTCTCGAGTCGATTAAGAAATAGAAATGAGAGTACACTTGATTTTAGGGGCTAAAAACGCATTATTCAATAGACGGGACCTTTGGAACAATTTGCATGGACTTTCTTACATGTGTGATGGGAAGTGATGACCCATCTCCAGTTATTACAGAATCACCACCAGAACATCGGGTAAGAGTTAGAAATTCGCTAGATCACCTGTAACATGGTTTAGCTGCTCCACTGTTGAGAATCGATGCTTGCTCATTCGGGGAAGACAAATGTCATGACTTCCATTGAGTGTTTAGGGCAGCAGCTTTGTCTTCTCAATACTGATAGCAGTCACAAATTTGTATCCATTTTTCGTGATATTATGCATGGATCAACATGGTCAATTCATCTGAAAAAATTGCGGACGATTCTTCTACAATGGAATCTGATAAGTGAGATTTCGAGTAATTATTTGAACTTTGTCCCTTCTGATTGTAGCGATAACAACAGGCCACTATGGCATGATTTCTATCATCATAGATTTGACGTGCCACCCCGCCATACCTTGGATTTGCATTTTGTGGATGGTAATTGGGCGTAGAAAGAAGGAAACACACTTGGTTAGGTGGAAATGGATGCAATCTTCCAGCTCTTCCACATCTATTTCCAGAACCCCATCCATGTGGACCTCATCGACCATTAAATGCTATAGGGTTGCTGGCCGTGATCGGCACATCATGAGAATCTTGATTCTAGATGTGTTTCAGTGTAGGTTGACTGTAGAAGAGGGACTCATGTGGTTCTAGTAATGGGCGTAGTTACGAAAATGTGGAAATGAAAGCTTAGCAGTTATTGAGGTGACAAACATTTTGTATTCATCCCTCAAACCAGCAAAGACATTATACTTTCTTTTATCACTGATAGGTAATTGGAACCAGTACATGGAGGGATCTCGCAGTATATCGAAGCAATCCTATGCCTGAGAGTGACGCAGTATAGACATGTATCAGAAAAGTGAAGAAGGAAATCTCCCTTCATGTTGAAGCTTCTAATCCCACCACTTTCTTAGAAATGATTTCAAAGGTGGTGAAAATTGAGAGTCTGTTAAAACACCATGGTGGAACTCATGCTCAGACTTCAGGGGGAGGTCAAAACCGGAATTTCACCAATAGCAGACCTAACCCTCGTGCTGGCCAGCAAAGAAATACGGTCAGCGTAGAGGTTACGACCACACCCATTCTACCTAAACTCCCAACTAATGTCACTCCTCTCAAGACATTAGGCGCCTTGCGGGGAATGGTACCACTCCCAACAACAACAATCCCAGCCTCAGGGCTATAACAGGATGCCTCGCACTGCAAAACCTGTACTGGTTTGACCAATTTGAGCGAAGATTGAACCAGCAGTACAACTTTAGCAAGGCCTGGGTACCAACCCTCTTAAAAATGTTGATGGAACAAGGCATAGTGGTCTTTCTTGAACTAAAGAGACCAGATGAGGCGAGACTCACCGT